GACCATTCACCCACTTACCACTGGAGAATTGCGAAAGCCCTTGATTGCTTGAAAGATACCACCACCTATGGTGCCCATGGTAAAGGCCCCACCACAGTCATCCACAATTCGCCAGGGGCTAGGAGCAGAGGGAAGGAAAAGATGAGCACATTTCTCATTCAGAAGCTACATGAAACCTTTGCTAACACAGTAAGAAATCAACAGTCTGCAGTGCAGGTCCCATGATATACAAAGTGAAAGGATTCTGAACATATTATTCACATCTAATCGGCCCTGAGTCATCTATCTAAACCTGAAGGAATAGCATCAGCTTCATTCCTCACTGCTGTTGTTTAAGTCCCTGTAATAGCACTTCATTCACTCATTAACAATGAGAGCATCTATTGTAAGTGGGGCACTATTCAAAAGCAAATGAACATGTATGTAGGAAATGACATTATAATCAACAATGCTGAGTCAATCTCCTGGAGGTCAAGGTAAGTTCTCCAGCTGAAGCAAAACATCAAGGTGAGACTGGAAGAATGCAATAGATACAGAGGAAAACAATTTTTTTTTTAAACACATTCTGCGCTTGAAATTCTTAAAAAATTTTTTTTTGCATTTGGAAGTTTAGTTTATATTGGATCCATTTATGACACCGATTCCAGTTAGAGGGCAAATCTACAAACTCTGCTTCCAAATGCAGCACCCTAAATTACACAAGATACTGAAATCGGAGTAATCTGATTGGTTAAGAATAGAGCCACAATTCAAGGAATGTGATTTACAGTTTCCGAATAGTAAATTCACTTGAACTCAGTCAGTAAAAGTAAAAGATGCAATAAGTAACATAAGGGTCAAATATGATAATGGACTGCTGGCAATCTGGACTGCTGGCTCAAGTACTTGAGAATTTAACATATTGTTGCTTTTAGAAAATATGAACAGTGAGTCATTTCCAACTCTGCCAGGTAAGAACATAAAAACTTTAGGTCAAAATAACATTCTCTTTAAGTATAATGCCAATCAAGACTTTGAACAAAATGACTATCTCATGTGGCAGATACCCCAATTGTCAGCAGACCTGCTTTTGTGGTCCTGAAGCAAAGTCACCAACCCTTGGGATCTTGTTAGAAATGCAAACTCTTGGGTACCACCCAGGACCTACTGAACCAGAATGGACAGAATTAGATCCACAGGTGTTGTGATTTTACTTTAAAAATGTGAGGCGTGGGGCACTCCCTGGTGGCACAGCGGGTTAAAGCACAGCAGGAGGAAGCTAAGGCCACCTCCAGGAGTTCGATCCTGGTCTGCCCAGGAGGTGACCAACCACATGGCCCGGCAGACCTCTCCTGACTGCCCACTGCTCCCCTCAGCAGTAACCTAGTCAGTTCTGCTCCCCACTCTGTCTCTGGTGAATCCTCTCACAGCCCCTGCACCTCTGGCCTATACCCTGTTCCGTATGCACAAATAAATAAATCTTTAAAAAAAAAAAATGTGAGGAATGCCCTGACTCTAAAAGGGATTGGAAAATGTCTTTTAAATGGTAAAACCATTAATAGGAAATAAGAAGACATGGTAGAATAAATAGTGACCCCCTCAGTGTGGTAGGTCAGTACTTGTAAATATACAGATATAAGGGCTGGTGGTCTAAGAAATCTTAAGATTTAGCCTAACTGATCTAATCAACAGTTGCAGTTATAACCAGTGGCCATTAAAAAAAAAAAAAAAAAAGAGTAAAGAACAGAGGATTCCGTTCAGAGTGCAGAACATTTCAAGAGAGGCTGCCCACAACAAAATTAAGATGGAAAGAGTTTCACAACTAAATCACAATGTTTTGCAGGGAAGTGATGGACTACATAAACGGACGGTAGAAGACACACTCCAAAATAATGGAAATGCCAGACAGATATAAGAGAACTCACAGTTACAAGATTAAGCCACCATTTCTTAAGCATTAACTACTTTTTAAATAAATGGACAAGTTGCTAAAAGGCGTATTTTTACAAAAATAAAATCTATGATCTTTGAGAAAGTTAGATTTGCTTTCCTATAGTCACCTTTTAACTTTGCGAAAGAGTATTCCTGTCCCCTTTCCACTGTACAGAACAGAGGCTCAGATAGAGATTAACTTGCCCAAGGTCACATAGGCAGTAACTAGAAGCAATTTAAATACAAACTAGTATGCCAAAGTCCTCAAATTCTTTCCACTGTATGACAGAGACTAAGAGTTTTTGAAAAGAAAGCAAATAACAAGTATTATTGAAGATGAATAGGTCCATACTAAAAAAGGCTAGAGGTAAAGCAAGAAACTGGGAAGCTACTGTAAAAAGGAATTAAAAGACAAAAGATACGACCTTGACAACAGGATTCAAAAGGCAAATATTTTGTAAGAATTCAGCCAGCTTATGCTGTGCTCAAACAGGGGGAGGGAAGATGTAAAGGGGAAAATGCAACTGTTTGAGCTGGGATGATGTGAGAAAATGCCCTTACCAAACAGGACAGTCCAGAAAGAATATGAAAGCAGTTTGACTACAAGCTAACCAGGCAACTGACTATTGCTTCAGGACGTTATGTACTAAGTAAAGTAAGAGGATTACCGAATGGCTTAAATCAATGAGACCTATTACATGACCCTAGAAGCCTTCAACTAAGAAACCTAAGACTTCTCGCACCAATTATGCTGATTGCTATTTACATGCCTGATACCTTGATGCGTTCATTCCTTGAACCTAAGCAAGTGCTAGCACTGAATAAAACAATGAATTGGTTTTTTCTCATAGATGTTCAGCGAACAATCGTTACCATCTTTCTTTCCCAGATAATTTTCGTCCACCTCCTCCCGCCTACAGTTTACCCAGGTCCCTGGGCATGTTCTACGCTCCACACAGTTGAAACGCTTCGCCCAGGGGTCACATCATCGTACAAATAATGCCCCAGACAATATCCCCCCCTCTCCCCCCGAGGCCTAGCTCTCCTTTCTCAAGGAGGAACTGAGCAAGAGCGAGGCGTAGGGACGCGTCCAAGGTCACCTCGGCGGTCAGAGGGGATTATTACTGACCCCGCACCTGCCGACTGGACTCAGGGTTAGGAGCAGGTTCCGATGCTCCATCAAACCCCAGTCTGGACCTCCCCGCCGTCCAGCGCAAGGTCACGAGGTGCCGGGTGGGGACCCGCGAGGCTGCCTCACGCTGAGGCAGCCCGCGGGGTACAGGGTTGAGCCGAAGCCCTCGTGGCCTTCGGTTACCAAGCCCGTGTGGACACACCGCGACCGAGTCCGCCCTGCCCCTCGTGAGCTGGTCAGGGGAGAGTGAAGGAAGCAAGGAAGCAGACAAACGAGGATAGGGGGTAAAGCTCACCAAGGCTCTCGCGCGTATTCCTCCATCTTGACTCCGGCGCCGCCAGCGATGCCGGGCAAGCTGGGCGGGGCTTGACCCCAGCAGCGGAAGTGATCCCGAGAGGCGGGCGTTAAGGTCTATGGGGATTGGCTCGCTGTCTGCCCTCAGCCAATGGGTGCCCGGGGGCGGGGCGGCGGCCGTGCGGAGAGGCTGGCGGTCCGCCAGGATTTCTAAGGCGGCAGGTCTGGGCTGAGCGAACGGGCGGAAGCTCTGCGGCGCTGAGTTCAAATTACCTGGTCATTGAAGGTCCCTTGACCTGAGGTAAACCTGGTGTTATTCCGCTGGGGTTCACCACCCTTCATGGGTAAGGTTTCTTTGTTTTTAGTACTTTGTCAACTAATGCTACTAATTTGTCAAGATTTGAGAAACCTTCATGACTGCGATTTAGTGTTTTATAGTCGCCGTGTCTGGGATGCAGTCGGTAATCACTAAATGTTTGTGAACTGGATCTATCTGGTCCATCTAGGGTGCCCACTTAGTTGGAGGGACAGAGACAACAGCCACTTCCTGACCTGCGTCCCAGTCACCAGGTGTGAGGGATGTTTAGCCCAGAGAAGAGAAATCCAGAAGAATGGGACCTCATGCATTGGCCCCCAGCACACACTCAGCCAAAACTAGTCGCAGGCTATTGGAGGAGAGCTTCTCACTTCTGCACTTTCCGGTGCCCTGAATAATCTGAAACTGCAGAAAGAGTGAGGTTCCCTCTGACATTTTGGGAGCCAGATAAGTAGATAACCTGAACTCTCCTCCACCGTTACTGAGCTACAGAGTGTCAGTAAAATGTGTCTTGTAACCAAAAGAACATTTTAAACGGTGTCATCTGCTCTGGATGTGTATGTCCAAGAAGTCCTTTTTGGATTGTAGGACTGTAATGAAATGTAATAAATTGCACAGGCTGAAGAGACAATATAGGAGATGGATGATGCCGAACCAAGAAAAAGAGCTCGCAGAGCAAGAATTGATGTTTACTGAGCACTCCAGATCTAGTGTATAAATATTTCAGTATATTTGTATGCTGGTGGAGCAAGGACCCAGGTGAAGTCTCCTTTAGCTCCAGCACCCAACCTTTGCTCCTATTCCATGGTCATTACACAATCTCCTGAATGTGTTTGGCTTTGAGTAGATTTCCTATAGAGAAGAGGCCCTGTTCTGTGTTCATGCTGTTCCTGCCCACTTGATAGTGACTTTATGCATCTGCCTGTTGTGAGCTTGGTTCTTTGAATCAAGTCACTCACCAGGAATGGTGAAAATGCTGCATTTCTTAGTTTACACAGCTGAGGGCCAGACTCCAGGGTGTGTCAGCCAGCTCTGTTCATCCTGGAGTTCCGCATCCTAAAGGGGTTTACTGTTCTGAGAGCTGCTGCTCTAATCAGCAGGACTTCTTGGACCTCTCACCTTCTGCCTTCTCTGTACTGCAGTGTGTCAGGATCAGCTTGGCTGGGCAAGGCCTGGGACTTAGCCTTTATTGGCTAGCGGAGGATGATGTTACCCCTTCCTCACTCCGAGTGAATAAGCCTCTTGGAAGAAGAGTTTGGTATTGTAATCTCCTCCTACCAAGTCTTAAAGGAATCTGAAAAGTCTGAGACAGAACATGAAGGAATGAGGAAGACTGAGTGAAAACTTGCCATAAATGTAAAGGGGGAGTGGGGAGACTGGACTGTCATTTTTTGTGGAAAGTCAGGTCTGAGACACTGCTGACACCTCCAGTGGCCATCACTTTGGGGACAATGACTCCATATGAGCTGTGACCTGTAGAACTTGTTTTACTAGGAGATTTCCCCAAGTAAATAAGGTGAAGAAAGGAAGTTCTCCCTGTGCCTAAGGAAAACCACTCGAGTAGATGAGCAACATGAGGCTAAGTCCGCGAGTCTTCCCCACTCTAAAGGAATTACCCACCCCTGCCACCTCCACCTCACAGTGAGCTCCTGTTCACCTTCCATGGTTGGAAAGTAAACCAGTTCCTTTTGTCTTAGTGGAGGGGCCATTATGGAGACTGGGATGGGGATAGATATCCAGGGTGCTGAGCAGAGACTGTCACCAGGCGGATTAGAAATCCAGAGCCAGGCCCTCGGGTTAAAGTAAGAACTACGAAGCTAAAGCCACTTCCGCCTGAGTTCGATCCCCGCCTGGGAGCTGATCCACATGGCGCTGCAGATCACTCCTGACCCGCCCACTGCTCCCCTCAGCAGTGGACTTCGTTGATCTGCCTGTTCTGCTCCCACTCTGTCTCTGGTGAATCCTCTCACTGCCCCTGCACCTCTGGCTTGTACCCCAGTTCTGTATGCATAAATAAATAAATCTTAAAAAAAAAATAAATCCAGAGCCAGTTGAAAGACCCCTACTCTGTGTTCAGGATGATCCTTAGTTTAGGGTACAATTGGGGAGGGTACAGAAAAATCTTGACATGATTCCTACCCTTAGCATGTTCAAACTGTCCTTGAGGTGAAAAAATGAGTTCCTGTGAAGTAGCTGTCGTGTCAAATTTATAAAACGTCACAATGTGTGACATAGAACATAAGTGCAGATGCTTTCAGTGGGGGGGCTTTGGAGGAGGCAGGGCCTGTAGAACTCCATCCACCAGGAGGTCACAGGCTGTACATGTGGCTTCAGAGCCCCCAGTCCCACTTGGCCCTGAGAATCACAGGTTGGCATGACCAGGTAAGGCTCACACCACAGTCAGCTCTAGGGCTTGGGGTTCCAGTCTGTGTTTGGGGCCAGGGGCTTGCTCCCATAGGCAACTCCAGCCTTACCCCAAGAAGAGAAGAAAGTTTCCAGAGGAAACTCCAGCCTTACCCCAAGAAGAGAGCCAGAGTGACTCTATACAATGGACCCTTGGACAACACAGATTTGAACTGTGCCTGTTCACTTAGATGTGTATTTTTTCAGTAAATACAGTTGATTCTCCCATCTCCACAGACATGGAGACCATGGATATCAGGGACTTTCTATGAGGGATTTGAGCGCCTGTGAATATTGGTACCCACAGAGTGGGGGTTGAGATTATCCTGAAGTCTATCCCCCAGGATACCAAGGAGGGCGCTGTAGTTAATGGGGGGAATCAGAAGTTACACACAGATTTCCAACTGCATAGGGTCATTGTCCCTAACCCCAGATTGTTCAAGGGTCCACTGTATCGAGTGAATACTCCACCATCTGCAGTTTTGTTTTCCTCAGCTTCAGTTACCTACCATCCACTGAGATTCAGAATGTTATATACAATAAGATATATTGAGAGAGAAGACCAAATTCACATGGCTTTTATTGTAGTATGTTGTTATAATTGTTCTATTTTGTTATCAGCTACTCCCTAGCTGTGCCAAATTAAAAAATTAACTGTGTCTAGGGTTAGGGACTATCCACATTTCTGGGCATCCACAGGGGACCTGGGGACATAGTCCTGAGTAAGGGGGCCCACTGTCATAATATGGTGAGTGCCTATAGTGTGTGTGATGCTATGTTATGTACTTTGCATATAATATATTTAATAACCAAGTCTGTGCAGTAGGTACTTTTTTTCTCTTTAAGTAGGTGCTTTTAATATCCTGTTCCATTTCATCAGGCTCAGAGAGGTTAAATAACTTACTCAGTGTCACACATCTCAGATTTGAGCCCATGTCATTTGATTCTGGAATCTGTGACCTGATCTGCTGCACCCTATATTCCTGAAGATGTGACTTTGCTGGGTTCATTCAGCCCAGTTGAGAACCACCCTAAACTCTCATTAAATTAATTCTGCTTCTCCACCTCTCCATGTAAATTTTTAAGATTTATTTTTATTTATTTATGCATACAAGAATTAGAGTGTAGACCAGAGGTGCAGGGGATGAAAGGATTCACCAAAGACAGAGTGGGAGCAGAACAGGCAGATCGACTGAAATACTCTGCTGAGGGGAGCAGCGGGTGAGACAGGAGAGGTCTGCTCTGGGAATCAAACTCATGCCGCAGTTGTGGCAACATGAGGTCTCTTTTCTCTCTCCATTCCTCTTGTACAACAGTGCTGTTTTTTTCCCTCTGGGGAATAGGCTGTTCCAGAGTCCCCAATACCCAAGATGGATTTGTTTTAGGTGGAAGGGGGTGCTGAACTGGTTAATCACGGCCTTGTGTGGAGTGGGTAGGGTAGAGGTCCTGCACCTAGGGACTGGAGGGGGCTCTCCTCCTGGCCTTTGGGTCCTTGAATTCTCCAGTCCTGGCTGTGATGTTCTTGAAAGCAAAACTTTCAAAGTCTGTGAACACTCCCAGCAAAAGGCTTCCAACAGAGTCCTATCAGAAGAGCCAGCTGTTTGGAATCGTAGGATGTGAAGCAGAGAAGACCCAGGGGTTGGTGGCCGACAGCTGTGGGTAGGAGGCCACTGTGAGGACTGCCCTTTGCATTTGGAAGCTGTGGGTTTGCTTGGTTGTGTCCCTAGAGCAGAGACTGCTGGGCCAGAGAAGGCCCCCAAAACCACATGGTGCAGGGCTGATCTTGGGGCTGAAGATGGGGATCTGTCTTCACACCCTTGCTCTTCTTCAGGAAGAGTGAACATTTTGGGCAGAAAGCCTTCGAAGGAAGAACTCCTGGGGGCTGGTAAGAGAGTTGCTTTCAACTGAGTAGGGGACCAGAGACGGCTCCAGAGCTGGAGTACCAGAAGATGATGCCTCTTCTAGAAAGCCCCTTCAGTGAGAGAAGACTGATGGGCCTAAGGCACGGTGCAAGTTGGGAGATGGGAATCAGCCGGAGACCACTTTCCAATGTATACACTGCCACCCATCCGTGTTTGCTCGCTTTCCTTGTCCCTCCTCTGGGCCGCTGGCCTGATTCCTCCCGACTCCACCAGTATGTCCTCTGTCAGGCCCTAAACAATTGCTCCTCCCTTAGTTTCCCTCTGCCTTGGAGTATAATTATTTTCTATTCCATTAAAATGCATTTGTATCATTTATTGAGGGTGGTTACTGCTGACAAGTTGAGAGAAAACGATGAAAGAAGAGAATGGATGAAGAGAAGAGCACCCAGAAAGAGAGTGACTATTTTTTTAAAAAAGATTTTCTTTATTTATGCATACAGAAATGGGGTACAGGCCAGAGGTGCAGGGGTGGCAAGAGGATTCAGCAGAGACAGAGTGGGGGACAGAACAGGCAGATCAACAAAGTACACTACTGAGGGGAGCAGCGGGTGAGACAGGAGAGGTCCTCTGTGCCATGTGGGTCACCTATGGGGCCGGGGCTTGAACCTGCACTGAAGTGGCCAGGGGTTGGCTTAGCATTGCCGTGCAGCGCTCCAACCCACTGGGCCACCGGGGAGGGCCCGACTATAAGTAATTCTATAGTTGCTAATAATTACCGTGCGTAGTCCAACTGGCAGGTGCCTCAAGCAGTGTTTCATGTATATGCTTGAATGTAATGTTCACAACCATCCTCTGAGGTCAGCACAGCTACTGTCCTTTCATAGATGATGAGGCCCACTGTCCAAGAAGGTCACTGGTTGCTGGTGATGGCGGGGATGCCCCAGGTCAGACTGTGGCTGTACCTTAGCTGGGAGCCACCCTGCTCGCCAACCTCTGCGCCCCCTTGCCATTGCACCGTAGTGCCTAGGCTTTGCTGCTGAGGCATTTTTGAAACTCCTCATTGAATAAATGATTCGAAATTGTTCATTGCCTGTCTTCACCGAGAGGAGATCGGTTCCAGAAGGCAGGGACCACCCGGATTTGAGACCGCAAGTCACCGCCCTTGCTTGGACGCCAGCGCCCTACACATGGTGAGCACTCAGTAAATATATGCTCACCCCCCAAAGAAAACACACTGGCAAAACTCCACAAAAATAATTCTTAGGCTCTGTGAAAAATAGAGGCACTGGGGTGGGGCAGGCAGAGGTGGGAGGGGAAAGGGACAGGGCAGGAGGCTGAGTGTGCCAACAGCTGGAGGTGTGAAGTTGCATTGCTCAAATCACATAGTTGGTAAATGGCAGATCAATACACTGGAGGGAAGAAATATAGAGGCTTACTCTCTCACCTCACAAATGGCAGCCCCAGGAGTCAGGGCAGTCAGGTGGGCCCAACTTCCGGCCTCTCCTCTAGGTGGCCTGACAGCAAGAACGCTGCAGCAGCTGGAGCAAGACAGGCCTTTTGAGAGTTTCGTCTCTGAGCATCCTTTGGAAGTTGTGTCGCTGAGCCTGTAACCAAATGAGGATTCTGCCCCCAGAACAGTCCCCGGGAAGAGTGTTGCTGTTACAGTGGTAGCTGCTGGATAGGTCTTGAAAGGAAAAGCGTGGAGAGATTCCAGGAGTTAGTGTGAAATTTGGAGATAAAGCTCATCTCCCAGGAGGCGGAGGCACCAAATCGCTCTAGAGTCGAGGATCATTTCTCACTGAGAGATGGTGACATTCTTGGAAAGTATGTCGACTGAAATAACTCGCGGTGCAGTGGTGCTGGGCTCTAGAATCACCCCACCTGGCAACGAAGCTGCCTGGTCCATTGAAGCTCTGAATCTGTCATCATGCAAAGAATGGTGTCTATACTACTAATGGTCAAACTAAAAGAAGATCAAATGACAGCCCCTCTTTCCTCTCTTCTTCTCAGGCCCGCCTGCCTCACCTCTGGACTGCAGTCCTCCCAGCCAGCCAGTCCCCACTCAGTCTGAACATAAAGCTGGACCAGGAGCATTTAATGCCAGGGCCCAGCTTCTGTTCCAGATGATCCCTGGACTCAGCAAATGCTAGTCAAGTGACTGTCTCTCTTGGCTTAGAATGGAAAGACGCCAGGAAAGATCGAAGCTTCTACCCTGATGGGTTACACCAGCGCTTCTGGGAGGGATTTTGTGGCAGGAGGGAGGGAGCAGGAGATTGAATGTCTCTGTGACTGTGCAGGCTGCATGATGGATGAGAGTGGAAAGCCCGTCTATAAAACACGCCAGACCTGTTGCAATAATATCTCTCCCACAGCCCAGAATTACATTTCCCTGAAGACCTTTGAATTGGGTTTGTCTGTGGGTGGCAACCTGCGGCTCCTCCTCGGGCCCTCAAAGGTCTGTCTGCAGATGTCCCAGCAGAAGAAGGAGCAGCTGAGCACCAAGGGAGTTTGAACCTGCTTCCTTAGCGCCTCGGAGCTCTGTGGAGACGGACACTGCTTTAAGGATTTCCTGATTTCTGCAGGTCATACTTTCTTGTCCAAACAGCCTGTCAGTTTTCTTTCTGGGTTGGGTTGTTTTCTCTCTCCCTCAGGACGTGGCCAACGTAGGCCCCGGGCCTTTGATGCTCAGCACTCAGGTTCTTGGCAGAGGACAGTGGGTGGGCGGAGTGGTTGCAAGTGTCTTGAATTGAGGCTCTTTCCGGGGGCTGTTAATAACTAGCAGGCCCCCAGCACATCACCAAATACAGCAGAGAGGACTCAGCGCGCCATGCGTGACCACAGTAACATCCGATCTCAGGTGGAAATGTGACATATGTGCCTGACCCGGCCGGCCCACTCGTGAGCCCCACGGCCCAGTGCCTGCTTTTCTGGCTTTCCGTGGCTCTGATCTACTCCTGCCAGCCTCTACATTTTTGTATCTTTTTCTCATTGCGTGGCCCTCTTGTCTTTAAAAGGCTAAATGCTCTGTACTAAATTTGGTCACACAGCGCTCCAAGATTCCCTGGAATGTCCTCAAGTTTCAAACAGCTCTGACAGAGAGGCAGGCCCGCCCCCACTGGGGGATTGGCTTCTGCATTCAGGGCTGGGCAGTCTTTAGGTCTTATTGGCCGCTGGTTAGGCCAGCCAGGGTCCACTAGCCCTGGGCTTGGGGAGGCTGCTGCTTCCAGTTAACACTTCAGCATCTGTGGCACAGCCGGGCAGAGCAGCAGAGGTCCTCAGCCAGCTGGCGCTTTGCTCCCAAGCCCACATCTGCTGCATCCAGAACAACTCCCTCCTCCCCTTTACTGGCCCCCCCCGACTCCCACGGCCCCTGCAAGAGCCGAAGCCCACTTTGCCAACATGTCCAAGTCCAAGGTAGCCAAGTACCGACGGCAGGTGAGCGAAGACCCTGATATTGACAGCCTGCTGTCCACCCTGTCTCCCGAGGAGATGGAGGAGCTGGAAAAGGAACTGGACGTGGTGGAGCCTGACGGGAGTATCCCCGTGGGGCTGCTGCAGAGAAACCAGACGGAGAAGCAGTCCACGGGCACATACAGCCGGGAAGCCCTGCTCAACTTCTGTGAGAAGGAGACCAAGAAACTTATTCAGAGGGAGATGTCCGTGGATGTGAGTGAGCGCGGCCCGCGAGGGGGTTGGGGGGCCCAGGACCCCGACTCCTGGCTAGGTCGCCTTCCTTAGAAGACAAGTGGTAAAGGATTTAATGCTTCCGAGTCAATCCCATCCGCTGGCTGGCAGTGTGAGTCTCATCCTCATGGCTGCGCCATAAGCAGAGTAGGGTGCCCTAGAAGAAATTGTGCAAGTGGGAGGGCGTCCTTGAAGCACTCACTGTCAAGTTGACTGCACCCTGCTCTCCCCTCACCTGCTTGGTTTCTTCACATTTATCCCATCCTGTTGTGGGAGCCATGGAAGGGTGGGGTGATGTTTGCAGTCTTCCCTGGCCGCCCAGCTTAAACTCTCCTTTAAGCTGTCTGGCTAGATGGGCTTCCCACAGCCCAGCGACCATTTGTGGAGACTCCCAAAGAAGTGGGGATGGCTGGCTTGTCGTGGGAAATAGTCTTACCTGAGGGCTCCAGGTTCATTCCCAGGGAAGGTGGTGTTTTGGCTCTTGCTGCGCCTTGTTGGCAGAAAGGCAACTTCTCTGGGGACCAAGTTACTTCCCCGGGGTGTTGCACCACCATAAGGGGACAGAGGAGGGACAAGCGTTGACTGTTTTTAGTAACCTCTGCCCACATCTGGGTTGGGCTTAAGCAAAACCTGCTTTTTGTCTCCTGGGCTGGCAATGAGGACTTGTTTCTTCACTGTGCGTTCCCTGAGGTCGGCAGACCCTTTGTCCTGGCCGAGAGTGTTTGGAGGGAAGCCACTCTCAGTCTTGCTGAAGATTCTCTTTGACTCGCACCTACTGGCCTTGCCTCTTGTAATGCTGGATTTTTTTTTAAATTAAGATTTATTTATTTATGCATACAAGAGCTGGAATGCAGGCCAGAGGAGCAGGGGGTGAGAGGGTTCAACAGAGACAGAGTGGGGAGCAGAACAGGCGGATCCACTGAAATATACTGCTGAGGGGAGCAGCGGGGGAAGCAGGAGAGGTCTGCTGCGCCATGTGGATCACCTCCCTGGCTGGGGATTGAACTGGTGCTGCAGTGGCTGCGGCCACCTTCATAGTGGGGACTTACTTCTAGACTGGGAAATACTGAAGGAAATGAAATGTACGCAAAGACTTGGCACCTCTGTGACTCCCTTCCCACCCCAATAAACCCCAAACATTCACTCTGCTCTCCCCTTCAGTCCCTGCCTCCTCCAGGCTCTGCGCCCTTTCCCATGGTTCCCCAGGGTGGCTGGTGCTTGAAAATACTCCTAGAGCCAAAGTCAAGCACAACACTCTCTTAATCCCAAAGCAAGGTGTTCAGGCCTCAGAGAGTTTGAGGAACTCTCACATGTCTGGAAGTTTCCTTCTTTTTCCTGAGCCGGTTAGTGCGACACAAGCCTTTCCTCCTAGGCATATCTCCCAGCTCTAGGGAGCAGGTATCCAGCCTCTCTGAGTCTCCGTTTCCTAACCCATGAACGAGAATAAACATGCCTGTCTCTGGGAACTTTGGGCTTCAGTCAAAGAAGAGGTGGCGGTCTCCTGCTCCTGCCAGATATACCCCGTGCCTGTCAGAGAATGAGCATGCACACATACTTGCACATACACACATGTGCTTCACCCGGTGTAAGAAGAATCACCTGAGAGCCGTTTTTCCCTCAGGGGGGCCACTTCCTCTCACCCACTCTGTGTTGACACAGAGGCTGGTTGGGTGCAGGAATTGACGAGGGCCCAAGGCACTGTGTGAATCTGGGTGATGGATGTGAACCCTTTTGAAAAGGTGACTTCAAACAAAAAAATGAAAGTAAAAATAAATAGAAAGGGTGACTTCTTCACCATGAACAACTCAGTGAGCGTGAGATAAGGAACGTGGGTGTGAGTGCTGGCATCTCTTACTCTGTACAACCTAGAGGCCCCAAGTGACTCTCTTCATCTGCAAAATACCCACCTCCTGGGGCTGTTGAGGAAACTACAATGGATAATAACTTAGCACAGAGCTGGGCAGTAAACACTCAATAAATGGCAGCTATGAGGTCATTAGCTCATTGGGGTCAGGCAACCCGGAAGTTGGAGCAAAAAGCAACTCTCGACCCACCGTCTCCTGAGGGCTGTGCCAGCTAGGTTGTTCCTATAGTGACCTCAATAACCTGGCCAGCCCCGGATGTCAGGTGGGGCCTCGACCTCAGGGCACAGTTAGCGGCTGGGGCTCCTGGCTGGGCCTGGCTGCAGCTCTTGCTGTCGTTGACTTTTGCTGCAAGTGAGGAACTGGATGTCAGTCAAAGCAAAGCCACTCTGGGCCTACTTTGCTGGATGTGAGGAAATATATAGCAAGCTAGGCCTGACTGGAGAGCCTCCTACATGCAAAGCACTTTCACCCTTTTGCTTAAGCCTCACAATTCCTACAAGAGATGTACCTTTTATTCCCATCATGCAGGACAAGAATCTGAGACTCAGGGAGGCTCTGTGGTCACACAGCTGATAGAAGCGGGCTGGATGGAGGAGAACTGTGTGTCCCCCTACGGGCAATAGCAGGACACAGAGAGAGGAGAAAAGCCAGTGTGCTGAGAGGAATTTACAACAAGGGTCACAAAGCAAACAGAACACGATGCACCACCGGGAGGCATCCCACATTAGGCCTTTGGGGGTGGCAGAAACAGGGGCTGCTACACAGGAATTGGCCCTCCTGACCGCCACCCCTCCCCAACTTGTGACTAGGAAAATAACTATCAAAACCGAGAGTGTAGAAAGAAAACAGAATTTAAAGATAAAAACCAAGTGTGGATTAGGGATCAAAGCTGTTCAGCCCAGGTGTGGATTAGGGAAAGTAAACTCTGAACAGATGTTACTTGGCTTTAAGGAATTTTTGTTTATTCCTTTTGGGGGAATGATGACCTCATGGATATACTTTCTAAAGGGCCCTTATCTTTTAGACAAAGTACTGAAAAATTTATGGAGGAAGGTACGATTAGAGAATTAGCTTTATTATGATGTGGGTGGGTGGGGGTGGGGGTGAAGCAAGATCGCCCCTACTTTTGCAAAGTTTCATAGTAAGTATTTTTTAATCGCCAGTAACCAAGAGTGAAAGCAGGCTCAGTTTAGTTTTAAACTTGGGCTATTCCTGGGGAGAGGGCGGCCCAAGATCCATTTTCTAGCCATCATTCTTTAGTGGGTCTAGGCTGGAAGAGCTACTTCTCCCTCAAATGAATCTCCTGGAACAGTTTATAACTGCTTTCATGATAGTCCCTCCTCAGCACTGCCCCAGGACTCTTCCAAGTTAATGCCTAGTTGTCCTTTGGGTCCACTTCCTCCAGGTAGTCCTCCTTGATGCCCAGGCAAGTTTAGACACCTTGTCTGATCCAAGTCCTCCCACATTGGGGGCTGTACCACCCACCCCAGTCTTGACATCACACTGCCGTCATGTCTGCTGTCTTTCTTGGTCCCTCCTGGCTTGTGTGATTCTGGAAGGCAAATGCTGACACAGGGTCTGGTCCTCATTGGGGCCTCTGCTTATTGAATGAGTGTCCACAGAGGTCAGGGGAAGCAGGAGGCAGGGCTAGGCAGAGCTGCCTCCTGCTTCCCTCCCTTCCTCGGCAGAGGAGTGCTCTCTGAGAGCATGCTGCTGCCCTGCTCAGGTGGAAGCCCGTGCCCCAGCCAGGTGTGCAGCCAGCCGCTCAGTGAAACCCTCCTCCCTGCCTCAGGTTTCAGGAACCGGATCCCAACAGGTCAACTCTTGTGTATGCTTCCCTCCCCAAGTGGGAAGAATATCTCCAGCCTGCCTCCCCCACCCCTCTGGCTGGCATTGCCAGGGTTGGGGATTAACACCTGTGCCAGGCCAGAGCAGGGGCAGCTGAGCTGGGGGCTAGAGGAAGCTCTTTGAGTTTCTCCCTTGGGGTAAGCGCAAGAAGTCAACCAGAAGCACCCATCTAGCCTAGCCAGTTGCTGCTGGGCTCTAGAGTCCTGACAGCCCCTCTCTTCCCTGCCTGCTTGCCTCAGCACTCCCCTCCCCCACCGGCCCCAGTGCACGGCCTAGTGTCCACGGATCTCTGCCGGATGGAGTGCTGGGAAGCCTGAGGCCGCAGCACCAAGCTCTTGCCCTTTGCCCAAGGCTGGGCCCTATCAGCAATGCCCTGGGCAGCACGGCTCATGCTTAAGGAGATTAACCCCAGCTGGTACACACCCAAAATAGCCCTGGAGGCCTGGGAGGAGAGGGCAGCAGAGGTGATGGGGGCCTGTTGACCTGGGAGGCAGAAGCAGGCACCAGGGAGGGTTAGAGGGTTTAGCTCTCTCCCTGGAGTTTGGAAGCGGCCGCCATCCAGAGTTCGAAAGAGCCGTTGGGGGGAAAAAAGAAAAATCAGTTGACCCTTGCTTAAAGTCAGTGAAGGGACGGACCCTCGGGTGTTTTCATTTTTGTTCTTACTCATCTATTAGCATTTTCCTTCTGTGTGTAGACAGTACTGACTATAAAGAATCCCAGGGCAGTGAGCCATCAGCATCTACTGGAGAGCAGCTTGGCCAGGCGGGATGTTCTAGGCGAGGGAGGCAGCACAGACTGACAGGGCACACGAGTTCTTGTAAAAATGAAGTGGCTCCGGCCCTCCCTGGTGGCGCAGCGGGTTAAAGTGTGGCACTGCAAGCTAGCCGCAGCCGCTTCAGTGTGAGTTCAGTCTCCATCCCCAGGTGACCCACATGGCACAGCAGACCTCTCCTGACCCGCCCTCTGCTCCCCTCAGCAGCGTACTTCGTCGATCTGCCTGTTCTGCTCCCCACTCTGTCCCTGGTGAATCCTCTCACCCTCCGCATCTCTGGCCTGTACCCCAGTTCTGTATGCATAAATAAATAAATCTTTAAAAAAAATGAAGTGACTCAATGGTGCAAGGCGGGTGGTGAAGTTGGGGTAGAAGCCCACCGCCCAAGGGGAGGCTGCCTCAGCAACTGCTGCCGGGCCCTCGGGGTTTCTGGGATTTGCAGCCTCTCCAGGCTGAGGCCAGAGGAGACAGGCCTCCTGTCTGTGCAGACAGCCCTC